CCGTAAAGATTTACACCCTCGGAAACCCTGTACAGGGTCGCTATGGGTCGGAACCGACTCGACGGCACTTAACAACAACAACAACAACAACATGTTCTTCTTGGATTGACCCTTTATCATTGAAATCTTCATAAATGTTTTTCTTTGTCTCTGGTAATAAGTTTTTGTTTTAAATTCTTTTTTGTCTGATACTAGACTACCCACTGAAGCTCTTTCTTGGCTATTATTTCTGTGGTATATGTTGCCAACTTTTTGTTTTTAAGTTATTTATGTCTTTAAAATTAATCTTTTGTTGCCAACATATAGTTTTCTCAACTCCTCCTTTAAGTTGAGATGTTTAATCAACCTGTATTTAATCTAATTATCTTTAAGGTAGGATTTATTTTGTTTTCTTGTTTCCATGTGTCACCTTTTGTTGTTCAGATCGTTCATTACGGCCCTTTGGTGTTACCACCACTCATCGGCCAGTTTGTCATGCTATGGTGACTTGTGTGTTGCTGTGATGCTGGAAGACATGCCAGCAATATTTTAAATTCCAGCAGGGTCACTCATGGTGGACAGTTTTCAGCTGCTCTTTCAGACTAAGGACAAGGAAGAAAGATATTTTTGAATGTTTAGTCACTGAAAACCTGATGAATAGCAGCTGAACGTTGTCAGATATAGTGCCGGAAGATTAGTCCCTCAGGTTGGAATACACTCAAAATATGACTGAAGAATAGCTGTGTCCTCAAAGTTGAGTTGACTGTGATCTATGCAAATAGAATAAAGCTTTTGGGACCTTCATTTGCTCATGGGGCACAACTCAAAATGAAGAGAAACATCCATTAATAGTCAGAACGTGGAATGTGCAAAGTATGAATCTTAGAAATTTGGATACTGTTAAAATGAAATGGAACTTATAAAGATCAATATCCTAGGTATTGTTGTTGTTGTTAAGCACCGTTGAGTCTGCCCTCGCTCATAGAAACCATGTATAGTGTTCCAAGGAGTGACTGGTGAGTTTGAACCACAAATTGATCTTGTGATCAAGTGTTTATCCTACAGTGCCACAACAGGATTCCATCCTAGATATCGTTGTTGCTGTTGTTAAGTGCCACCAAGTCAGTTCTGACTCAAAGCAACATTATAAAACAGGGTTTCCGAAGAGTATAGGATATATACCATATAGGGTTTCCAAGGAGTGACTAGTGAGTTTAAACTGCTGACTTTGTAGTTCAAATTGACCTGCCCATCCAACACCAGTAATGGGGTGCTACATTTGATTATGCACATGCCTATCTGCTGGGGTTCAGCCCTGGGCCTGTCACACAAACAGGTTCCATATTATATGCCAACCCCGAAAAGCTACAGGGACTGTTTGGAGTCGTGGTTGAGAGACAAGTCTGGTTTTCATTACAAAGAAGGCTGTGAACAATTAGCCATACCTGCTACAGGGGCCATGGTGACACCCATTAGAAATGTCTGGAATGGGAAAACTGGAAAAGGAGCTATAGGCCAGTTATGGGCTTAGAAAAGGACCAGGAGGGATGCCCATGCTTGTCACACATGGCAGTTCTCAGCAAACCAGCCAAAGAACTTGTGGGTAACTTCTCCAGGTTCTGGATGGGGCAACTTAAGCCCCAATTAATGGAAGCTCAGCTGGGTAGAGCACACATCTGAAGACAGAGGCCACACCTGTGTTAGTTCCTCACCCTTGGGAGTCAGTTTTACCTAGGCGAAGAGAGCTTGCTGGTTGTCCTCTGCAGCTTAAATGCAACTCAGAGAACTAGAAACAACTTTCCTGCTGGATAAACTTCCACAGCTTTCCAGTCCACACTGAAAGTATTTATCTTCTATGGGCTACTGAGAAACCAAAATTGGGTGAGAAGACAACCAGCTTACTTTAATCGAGTTCCAGAATGAAGAGACAGTTTCAAAAAGCACTGTGACAACAGAAAACACAAAGGCATGTGTAAAAGAATGTTTCTGGAAAATGCCAAAGGCACCAGACATAAGCCCAACTTTGTGTTTCCGCTTCCCCACAAGGCCATGCCCTGTCCATAGGGTGGGAGGCTACTTGGTCCAGCTCATTTTGGGGATGTTGTAATGCTCCATGAGTGTGTTCAGGTGTCTGCTGAAGTCCTCCAGTCTCTGCTTGTGGCTTTTGGATGCTTTCTTCAGGATCCTTTCCATTTGCCGCTTCTCCTGCATCTTCCTGAAGGCCACTTGGGCCGGGGTCCACTTGTCCAGGCCGCTCTGCTTCTCCTCCTCGTTCTTTTTGTTCATTCCCATTGCTTCCAGAAGTTTCGCCTTATCTTTGTCCTTCTTTTTCCTCTTATGCTTGGTCACACCAAGCTCTGTGACGCCTTTCAGTTTCAGGGAACCCTTCCCCACCTGCTCTTAGGTTGCGATGGCGCTTGCTAGCAATATGTAGGTAAACTCTTAATTGGCTTATTTTTGTAATATCCATCTCTTTACTGAAATAACTCTATTTAGTGAGATGTTGTTTTCATACTTTCATTTAGTTCTTTAAACATCATTTTCTTAGACTATTTGAGCAGAACTAAAATAGCTGGTTGAGAGTCTTTGTGTATTAATTCAAATGTCTGATGTTCTTTGAGTACACTTTAGATTGACTACTAGCTTCCCCCATGTGTGGGTTATACTTTTTTCTTTTCATATATTATGATTTTTCTTGAAAACTTAAAATTTCAAATAATATAATAATGTATCTTTGGATATCAGATTCTTACCAGAATAAGGGAACATGGAATGGCTTAAAATCATGAAAAGTTTGTGACAGGGTTATATTCTTTCACCATACTTATTCAACTTGCATGCTGAGCAAATGATCTGAGAAGCTGGATTATATGAAGAACAATGTAGCATCAGGATTGGAGGAAGACTCATTAACAACTTGTGATATGCAGATGATACAACTTTGCTTGCTGATAGTAAAGAGGACTTAAAATACTTATGGATGAAGATATCAGACCACATTCAGTATGGATTGCATCTCAATGTAAAGAAAACAAAAATCCTCATAACTGGACCAATAAATAACATGATAGTGGAGAAAAGATTGAAGTTGTTGAAAACTTCATTTTACTTGGGTCTACAATCAACACTCATGGAAGCTACAGTCAAGAAATCAAATGACGTATTGAATTAGGCAAATCTGCTGCACAAGATCTTTTTAAAGTGTCAAAGAGCAAAGATGTCAGTTTAAGGACTAAGGTGCACATTACCCAAGCCATGGTATTTTCAATAGTCTCATTGTTGTTGTCATTAAGTGAAATTGAGTCAGTTCCAACCCATAGCGACACTGTCTAGGGTTTCCGGTGAGCAGCTGGTGAGCTTAAACTGCCGACCTTGCAGTTCAAACGGCTTTGCAGTGTGGCTTAACCCACAGCGCTACATAGGCGTGTAAAAATTGGAAGACCACAGAAGAATGGATACATTTGAGTAATGGTGTTAGAATAGAATATTAAAAATGCCACTGACCACCAAAATAATGAAATAATCTGTGTTGGAAGAAATGCAGCTAGACAGTTCTTTACAAGCCAGTATGGCCTGCTTCGTCTCTCATACTTCAGATATATTATGAGGAGGGACCAGTGCCTGGAGAAGGACATCATTCTTAGTAAAATGGAGGGTCAGTGTTAAAAAGGAAGACCACCAATGAAATAGATTGGCACAGTGCCAGCAACAATGGGCTCAAGTGTACAATTGTGAGGCTGGAGCAGGACCGGGCAGTGTTTTGTTATATTGTGCCTAGTGTTGCTATTAGTTAGAACCCACTCGACAGCCCTAACAACAACATCTCTTCTCTGGGATTTGTTGATTCTGCTAGTTTTACTTGTTAGGTAGTTACTTGTTTACTTGTTGCTGTTTTAGGAGACATTTGTTTAGGGACTTTTCTAAAGGAATCCTCTAAATTCTGTAACTTTAGTATGTGTTGTTGCTGTTGTTATAAATCTCTCTTCAGTTAACTTGGTGTTCAGCAGATTATTGAATAGATTTTTTTTAAAAAAACTGCCAGGAAAATAAATCTTCCAGCCTTTCCCAATAGGCTCTGTGTATGTGCTGGGGCATGTTTTAAGCAGTCAGGAAGGCAGTTTATAAACCTGACTTGGTCTAGTTGTATAGAACCTAAAGGTTAGCCAGAGATGAGAATGTGAGTCCTTATCAGGTCTTGTTAAATATCACACAGCTCTATACATTTACATGGCCTTCTAAATTCCCAGAAATACATTGAAGCTTTTAAAAGACTTTATAAATATCTCTTCTTGATTTTTTTTCCCTTTAAGCCTTTTGTTGTTGTTTTTAAGTGCCGTCGAGTCGGTTCCGACCCATAGCGACCCTGTACCTAATCTAATAGTTTAATCCAACTGTTGACCTATTAACTCAAGCAGATGTGATGTTAAAATAGTCAACAAATCTTCTCTCAGGGAGAAGATTTAACGTTGGGTTGGAGATGCTTGAATGAGGTCAGATAAAGACAAGAGGTTCACTTACGATCTTCCGGGGAACCATCAGACAGGTGAAATAATTTAAGAAATGAATTTATGAAAGCGTTCCAGATTTGATCAATTTCCTCAGATACTGTGACTGTGAGCTGCTAATTTTGAAGACTACAGTTCAGTCAGTAAGTGGAAATGGGGGGTAGGGTAAACTATAATGCCACAAAACATGCTATTCTTCCTAAATAGCACTATTTTTCTTGACTCAGATTATTATTATTACAAACTTCTTGTTTATTGCCAGAGTTCTGGAAATGTTGATTTGGACAATTTTTGAGGTGTTTTATTAAAAAAAAAAAAAGGAAAAAAAGAAAGACATTTTTTACTCCATCTTTTTTGCTAATGTCTTGTTTTGGAATCTTTTAATTCATTCATAGTATTCATTTTCCATGTTATTTTTCTCAATCCTTAACTTTGGGGTCTATATCTTTCATTTAAATATTTCCCTCTTAGTGTGGCACTGTGGGTTAAGGTGCCACACTGCAAAGCCATTTGAACTGCAAGGTCGGCAGTTCAAGCTCACCAGCTGCTCCTTGGAAACCCTATACAGGGTCGCAATGGGTCGGAATCGACTCGGCAGCACTTAACAAATGTGCACAACAAATGTGATTATATGATGTCTGATGAGATTTAAGAGTTAAACATTATAAGCAGTTTAGAAACTCTGTCCCCATGGGCCTGGATCTGTGGCTAGCACTTTAAATATAGCTACTCTTCTATTAAAGGAGCTCTGGTAGCGTAGTGGTTATGAGTCGGGCTGCCAACCTCAAGGTCAGCAGTTCGAAACCACCAGCAGTTCCGCAGGAGAAAGATGAGGCTTTCTGCTCCGGTAAAGATGTGTAGCCTCGGTAAACCTGTGCAGGGTCACTATGAGTCAGAACGGACTCCACAGTACTTACTAACAACAACAACTTCCGTCCAGATTCCTTCTCTGGAATTCCTGTATTAATACATTTTTGTTGTTTTTGCTAAGTGCCATCGATTCGGATGAGACACATAGCGACTCTGTATAGAGTTTCCAAGAAGTGGTTGGTGAGTTTGAACCACCAACCTTGAGGTTCGAACAGTCGTTGCTGTCGAGAGTTTGTCCTACAGCACCACACCAGGACTCCTATGAGTAGATACATCTATTAAATATGTATTAATACATCCATTGAATATGTATGTATGTATGTATTTTTATTTATTGCCTTTGTTTTACTGGGTTTGTTTCTAGGTGACTTTGCCACTTTTAATTTATTACCAAGTGCCTTTCTAGATTCCCAGCTTTCCAGTTTCATTTTCTATTTCAGTGATTATAATTCTCATTATCAAAATTCTAAATTGTTTAACTTTTGTTTTCCCAGTTTGTGCTTTAATTCCGTCTAATCTGATGATAAATGTTGGTGCTTTTAAGATAGAAATTATTCCTTCACTTATGCCTTTGAACATATTCATAAAACTTGTTCCAAATGCCTTATCAGTCTACAAAACAAATTTTATTTGAAGTGAAACATAAAATCTTACTAGTTATACTTTTTTGCATTATTTTATTTCTTCAGGTGTTACGGAATTTTCTCTGTAGCTGTTTAATTCTTGTGAGAAATTTTTCACTCTTTCTTTTTCTGTGTTTATCTAACAACTTTATAGTTATTTTCTCTCAGATCTTTGGACATCATGTCCAAACTAAGTAATATAAGGATTGTTCAAGATTTCTTTATAATACTGAATATATTAAAACTTCAATTATCAAGCCAATATGACACTGTTCATTTATTAGACAGGATGTCAGCTGTGTCCTCATAAGCTCTTAGATACGTAGTTTATTCCACTACTTGTCCAGCACTTTGTTGTATTGTAGTAACATGTGTATCACTGTGATGATGGAAGTAATGCCACCAGCATTTTAAATACCAACAGGGTTTTCCATAGTGATCAGGCTTTGGCAGAGCTTCCAGACTAAGAAAGATTAGGAAGAAGCTGGTCCATTTCTGAGGGATTACCACTGAAAACTTTATGAATAGTAGTGGAATGTTGTCTGATATAATATTAGTTGAAAAACATGCAAAATATGACTAGGGAAGAGCTGTCTCCTCAAAGTAGAACTAATGTTAATGATTTTGGTGGATAGGATTTTGCAGATAGGGTGTGGGTCAAACTGAGAAGAAACAGCAGCAAACATCCATTAATAACTGAAATGTGGAATGTTCAAAGTATGATTCAGAAAGCTGGAACTCACCAAAAATAAAAGGGAACATAAAAATCAATGTCCTAGGCATTAATGAGCTGAAGTAGATTGGTATTAGTGATTTTTAATCAAGCATTTACATAATTTACTATGCTAGGAATGACAAATTCAAGAGGAATGTCATAAAATTCATCCTCAAAAAAGAAAATTGAAATTTGTTTCATAGTGTACAACTTACGTTGTTGTTACGTGCCTGGAGTCAGTTCTGACTCATAATGACCCTGTACAGGGTTTCCAAGGCTATAAATATTGATGGGAGCAGAAAGCCTCATCTTTCTCCTTCATAACAGCTGGTAGTTTCAAACTGCTGACCGTGAGATTAGCAGCCCTATTCGTAACCACTATGCTACCATAGCTCCTTATAAGGAAAAGCAATTAAAACAACTATTATTCAAATTTACTCAGCAACCACTAAAGCCAATGAAAAATAATTCGAAAAACTTCTACTACCTCTGCAGTTTGCAATTAGTCAATATGCAATGAAGTTGCATTGATCATTGCTGGTGATTGGAATGTGAAAGTTGGAAACAAAAAGGAAGGAGCCATAGTTGGAAAATCTGCTGTTGGTGACAGATTTGACCCTGGAGATTGCACTTATTTTTATGTACCTATTTTTAGCAACATGAATGGTGACTAACCATGTGGACCGCTCCAGATGGAAGGCGCAGGAATCAAATTGACTACATCCATGAGAAGAAACAATGAAGAAGCGCAATAATATAAGCCAAAACGAAGCAGGAGTTAACTATGGAACAAACCATCCATTGCTTATATTCAAGTTCACATTGCA